GCTTTGCATATTGTCTCATTCCAACTATATGACATTCTGAAAAAGACAAAACTGTTGGGCACTAGAAAGGTCTGTGGGGCTCGGGGAAATGGTGTGTGAGGGTGGGCAGGGGTTGACAGAACACAGAGGACTTTTAGGGCAGTGAATAGTTTTAATGAAACTCTTCAGGATGGCGGAGTGTTGGTTCCATGCCGGTGTGTGTTTGTCTAAACTCAGAGTATATAACAGCAAGATTTGAACCTGCCAGGCTTGGTGGTGCATATCTTTAATTCTGGCAATCTTGAAGCAGAGGAGGGAGATCTCTGTGAGTCTGAGGCTAGCCTGTCTACATTGCCAGTGCCAGGACAACATACTGACACACCGTCTCAGAGAAAACCACTGTCCTCCACCTCCAAAAAAGGAGGAGAACTTGATACAAACTGAACTCTGGGTGATAATTACAGGTCGGTGTAGGCAATGATTGTGACAAATGTACCATCCTGAGGCTACCTACTGGGGAGACACTGTTTCCATGGATGGATGGCCATAGGGTAGATGCTCTGAATCTGTCCTAAAAAACAATGTGGCCTTGGGGAAATAGCCTAGCAGTGTGCTTAGCGTGTTCAGGGTCCCAGATCCAATCACCAGCGCTGCCATTGGAAAAGTAAACAAACAAGGCATGTTTTTGCTTTGAGATAGAGGTCTCCCTACGTTGCCAAAGCTGGCCTTGGACTCACCATTTTCCTACCTCACTCTCACCCACCTTGGATCAAAGGTATATAGGACCACACCTAGCTCATAAAAAAACTAGATTGCCAAGTTATAGGAAAAAAATGCTGAGACTTTTTGTTGAACTCTCATGGAACCGCTAACGTGGAACTTAACATGGAACTTAACAGCATAGTCTCCAAATCCATCAGTGTGATTTGTATTTGCATTTTGATTTTTTTAAAATCAATGTTTTATATTTTTTAAACCTATGGAATTTTGCAAATCTGAATTCATTTCAATTAGATTTCTTTCATGTTATTATAAACTATATTTAAAATATATTTACAATAGAGTATTGTTCTATAGAAAAATAACCTATTTTATTATTGATTGATTGATTGATTTGCTACAGCTGAGTAGGAACCCAGGGCCTCACGTATGCTTGGCAAGTGCTCCACCACTGAGTTACACTCTGGCTCCATGAATGGCTCTTGTATCACAGAAACTGCTGAATTTACTGATTAGCTGTAATAGACTTTTTTATTTCCTGCATGTGCAATCATCATCTGAGAATAAATATGTCTTCCTATTTGATATTTATGCCTTTCAATTTCTTTTTCTTATCCTTTCAAACATTTTTGGTAGTCTGTCCTCCACCATGTTGGTGTGGGTGTATGACGGATATGTATGAATGAGAGCGTGGCATGCCGGTGCTTATGTGGAGGTCAGAGGACAACTTTCAGGAATCTGTCGCTGTCTCTTTTTTATCGAGGCTAGCTTGCCTGTGAACTTCTGGGTGACTTCCTGTCCCTCCCCCTTGTCTCACTGCAGGAGTGTGGGGTTACAGACCCAAGTCGCTGCATCTGGCTTTTGGAGTTCTGGGGACTGAACTCAGAGAGTCAGGCTTGTGCAAGGAAACATTTTAACCACTAAGCCATGTTGCCCAATCCTTTTTCTTGTCTTAGCGCACTGTTTAGGACTTCCTGATTTATGCTGTAAAGAAGAGGTTGAATCATAAAATATCCACATTCTTTACATTCTCTCTCTCTCCCTCTCCCTTGTTTGTTTGTTTCATTTTGTTTCTTGAGTCATAGTTTCTCTGTATAACAGCCCTGGCTGTCCTGGAACTCATTCTGTAGACCAGGCTGGCCTCGAACTCACAGAGATCCACCTGCTTCATGCCTCCCGAGTGCTGGGATTAAAGGCGTGTGCCACCACTGCCTGTCTCAAATATTCACATTCTAAGAAATTATTATGCTTTATCTGAACCATTTGAAGACAAATTGTCAGTATCATGACACTGTACCTAATTTCATCACCACACTCTTGTAAGTATAAGAATAATGTCACCTGATAAAAAAAAAAAAAAACGCCATTGTCATATCCTGAACTCACTATGTAGATCAGGCTGGCCTCGAACTAAGAGACTCATCTGCTTCTGCCTCTTGGGTGCTGAGACTAAAGGCATGCACTATCACACCCAGCCGAAGCTTATCATTTTAAGTGTACAATTAACTAGTGTCAATTTACAATGTTGCATAAACATTGCTATCATCTGTTACTAAAACATTGTCATCATTGCAAACAGAAACTCTGCAATTACAAGGAGTGACTACACATTCCTTGCTACCAACAGTGCTAGTAGTGAGTCTGAATTTACCTATGTTGGTAGACTCACACAGTATTCATCCTTTTATGTCTGGCTTATTTTACAAGTATAATGTTTTTAAGTTCTGACCATGTGGTAGCATGTGTCAGAATCCCATTACTTTATATGGCTGAATATAGTCTCTGTGTGCAAATATCCCATTTTGTTTATCCCTTCATTTGTCAATGTCAGGGCTACCTTTGTATATTTAGGATAAATTTCAAATGGTCCTTATTTGATGAAAGACATGAATCTATATATTCCAAAGGCCCAAAGCTCAAGGAACTCCATATAGCATAAACTCAGAGACCCACACCAATACACATAAACCCAAATAACAAAAGCAAATAAATAAACCGTCAAGAGGGAAGTGATTTGTCCCTTACTAGGAACCTCCATAGGCTTGGCATCTCATCAGAAACATAGAGAACAGAAGGTAGTAGGTTGGCACATTTTTCTTTCAAGTTCTGAAAGAAAAAAAAAAAAAAAGCAAAGCTTGCCAATCAAGAGTTCTGCAGTTGGCAAAGCTGTTCTTCAAAAGCAAGGGATGTGGGAGCTGGAGAGACAGCCCATTGGTAGATTAAAAATAAGAATGCTGAGGAACTTTGTAACTTGTTTGTTTGTTTGTTTGGTTGGTTGGTTTGGTTGTTTGGTTGGTTGTTTTGGTCTTTCAAGACAAGCTTTTTCTGCATTTCCCTGGGTGGGCTGGAACTCAGAGATCCACCTGCCTCTGTCTGCTGAGTACTGGGATTAAAGACAAGTACCACCACCTCCCAGCATGGCTTGTTTTTTTTGTTTTTGTTTTATTTTATTTTACAGTTCCATTCAGTTCTACATATCAGCCACGGGTTCCCCTATTCTCCCCCCTCCCACTCCCTCCCCTTACCCCCAGCCTACCCTCCATTCCCACCTCCTCCAGGGCAAATCCTCCCCCGAGGACTGCGATCAACCTGGTAGACTCAGTCCAGGCAGGTCCAGTCCCTTCCTCCCAGACTGAGCCAACTGTCCCTGCATAAGCTCCAGGTTTCAAACAGCCAACTCATGCAATGAGCACAGGACTCGGTCCCACTGCCTGGATGCCTCCCAAACTGATCAAGCCAATCAACTGTCTCACCTATTCAGAGGCCCTGATCCAGCTGGGGGCCCTTCACATGGCTTGGTTTTTTTAATTTAAAAAATTTATATGTGTGGGTGTTTTGCCCATACATGTATCTCTGTATGTGCACCACATGGATGCCTGATGCCCATGATGGTCAGAAGAGGGCACTGAATTCCCTGGAACTGGAGTTGCAGATGATTGTGAGCTAGCATACGGGTGCTAGGAACCTAGGTCCTCTGGAAAAGCAGCAGTACTTTTAACTAGCAAGCCATCTCTCCACCCTCATGTGGTTTGATTTTTAATTTCTTTTTTTTTTTTCTTTAGAGGTGGATAGACTGAAGCCCAGGTCAGTCTGGAGAACACTTTGTAGCCTAGGCTGGCCTTGAACTCACGGCAATCCTCTTGCCTCAAACTCCCAAATGTGCGAATTTCTGGTATGGCCCATCATCACACATGGCTCCTATTCTTTTCCTAATAGAATTTAAAGAAGAAATGCGTGAAGTAAATGTGAATTTGCTAGTGGGCAAAATATCCAAAAGTGTAAATGGTAAGCTCAACTAAAACACAAATCGGCAGAAGGATGAAGAACAGATCCCAGGATATACTGACTATAAAAGACTTAAGATCTGTGAACACACAGTGGCTGAGAATTAAAGAATGGGGGATGGTCAGTGCAAGTAAGCCAAAGAGGATGGGAGTGGTTATACCACGTTAGGACAGACAGACAGACTTCATGTCAGAGGATGGGAGTGGTTATACCACGTTAGGACAGACAGACAGACTTCATGTCAGAGGATGGGAGTGGTTATACCACGTTAGGACAGACAGACTTCATGTCAAAGAGGATAGGAGTGGTTATACCACATTAGGACAGACAGACTTCATGTCAGAGGAGGAGTGGTTATACCACGTTAGGACAGACAGACTTCATGTCAGAGGATGAGAGTGGTTATACCATGTTAGGACAGACAGACCATGCCAAAAATGGTCAGGAAAGACATGATGTAAAAGGCTGTAAGAGCTGATTCACCTAGATAATATAACAATTATAAATATATAAGCACCAAACACCACAGTTCCCAGGTAGAGCAAATGGAGCAAACGGGAAAAGCACACAGCTTTAGAATAACAGTCCAAGTTTTCATTGCTTACTTCAATATTGAAAATAACAACTAGATTGCTGAATGAAGAAATCGACTGGACCCCTCAAGCTGGTACAGATCACACCTCCCAGTGGCTGTAAGGACAGTGCTGTTCTTAAATCACAGGGAATATCCTCCAGGGCAGGGCCAGGGCCTAGGTCCCTGTTAACATTTCTTATACTTTGTGATAGAAACAGCACCAATTGGCCAGTGACCTCCAGAGATCTGCCTGTCTCTTCCTAAACCCTGGCCCAAGTGGTATGGCAGTGTTTCTCAACCTGTGGGTCATGACCCATTGCAGGGGTGGGGGTGGGATGGGGGTGAGACCGAATGATCTTTCCACAGGGGTCACCTAAGACTATCCTGCATATCCAGTATGTACATTACGATTCATAACAGTAGCAAAATTACAGTTACAAAGTAGCAACAAAAATAATTTTATGGTTGGGGGGTGACCACAACACGAGGAACCATAATAGAGGATCGCAGCCTTAGGAAGGTTTAGAACCACTGATGTTACGGCTTTTTATATGGATGCTGGGGATCTGAACTCAGGCCATCATGCTTCCATGGCAAACATTTTACCCCCCGAACTATCTCCTCAGCCCCCACGATGGAAATTTTGATTGTCAACATGACTGGCTTAGGAAATGCCTAGGATATTAATAAAGCACACCTCTGGGGATGCGTAAGGGCATTTCCAGAGACCCAAGGGCTCCGACCGAGTCAGTGGATTAATCCCTCAGCGAAGTCATAATATGATGGCGTTATTGAGAGAAGGCGAAATGGAGGAGGTGGGGCCTGGCGCCCGGGAGCAGGTCGCTGGAGACATGTCCTTTGGGTTCATCTCATCTCGGCTCCTTCCTGTGTCCCTGTTGTGTAACACGTTGTGAAGAAAACATCTACTCACCCCGGATAGAGAACCAAGCACAGGACAAAATGAGGCTCCCGCTGTAGCCCCATGTGGTGAGTCAGGGGGTTTGGCTGGTGTGACTATAGGCGTGTGAGTGAGCAGAAATGTCCCTGTAGGGGACACTCGGGCCTTCGTGCTCACGGACATGCACCAGGGGGACCCGGAATGTTAAAAACAAAGGGCTGTTCCTTCCTTCCAGGGAAGGAATGCAAAACCTGTTTTACACCCAGAAGGCTGGAGTGGACACATTTTCTAGCCCGATGACGTTTGCGCAATCTGCATGGCCGAAGACTTTCTGGCACCAGACCCTCCTCCAGACCCTTCTTGTAAACTGGTTTTTCTTAGTCCATCCATGGAAACTCATCTTTGTGGAAGGTATCACACATAGTCAATCTATAGAGCCCATCTTTACAGAAGGGGTCGCACGTACCTTACAAAGAGTTCCATCATTGTTGTCTGCTCCGTATTTTGCTTGCTTTGTTTCTCAAAGAGATTAGGATGTGCTTTGTTGTGTATGTGGGATTGAGTTAATCTTCACAAGAAAAGTTTTCGCCCAATTGTGCTGTGTTTAAATATGCCCAAATTAAACAACTCGGATTCGGACTCTGCTACTGAGTCGTGTCAAGCTGAACTGCCCCTTGCCTCCTGTGGCTCCTGTCTCTGTGACCCGTGAAGATCGCAGAGATCCCCGCATGACCCAGAGACAGCTGCATCGCCAAAAGCCACCCCAGAGACGACACGTGGAAACTGGAAACCTAGAGCTGTTCGCACAACTTGAAGGCATCTCAACGGTTGAAATGTGTAGCTCAGTTGGTCACAGTCTTTTCCAGACGGCTGGGCTTGTCTGAGGTTGTCTCTCGGCGGTCCCCTCTGCTTACATAAGCTTGGGGAGGGAGGCTCCTAGTGCATTTGGTATCAGGGACTTCTGGAAGCTCTGGAGTTGTTTACTTCCTGACTTTTTTAAGATTTGTTTTTGTTTGTTTGTTTGTTTGTTTGTCTTTGGAATGTGTGTGTGTTTGCCTGCATGTACGTATGTGCACCATATATATGTCTGGTGCCTAGAGGCCAGTAGAGGGTGCCAGATCTCCTGGACCTGGAATTACGGATGGTCATAAGCTGTCGTGTGTGTGTGTGGGTGCTAGGAACCAGATCCCAGTCCTCTGCAAGGACAGCAAGTGCTCTTAGCTGTGGAGCCATCTCTCCAGACTCTGCTTCCTGAGTCTTAAGGAGCCTCCCTCAGAACATTGGGAATCTTCCCCCACAGGATGGAAATGGTATACAACAACCCAGTTTCAATCGCTGCTTCCCAAGGGGGTGAAGAACAGCTCTCCTCAGCTACCTTCTTCTTCCACCATGATACACCCCCCCACAGGGTTTCTCTGTGTAGTTTTGGTGCCTGTCCTGGATCTCGCTCTGTAGACCAGGCTGGCCTCGAACTCACAGAGATCCACCTGGCTCTGCCTCCGGGGTGCTGGGATTTAAGGTGTGTGCCACTACCGCCCATCACCATGATATTCTGTTTGGGGCCAGATGACCATAAAACCATGAAACCATGTGTCAAAATACATCTTTCCTCCCTTAAGTGAATTCTCTCGGGTATTTCTGTCTCAGTAACGATGGCAGTAACTAAGGTGCATATTGGAGAGTATGTCTTATTTGAAGTCCATTTATTGTAGTGCTTCCTGGCTACCCATCACCCAAGAAACAGGTCTGTCTGTCACAAATTATAAGCAAAAATCGGGAAACCAATCTGCCGTGACACTTCCCCCAAACCACCCATTCTATGCATTCTCTGGCTCCACTGTTTATCCTGGTCACCACTGGTTTCCAACTCCTGTGAATTTGGCTTCCAGAATGCGATGAGGACCCTCTGCAGCCTACAGCGAACTGAGTTCATGGCTGTCCGAAACAATCCGGGTGAAGGCGGCTGTCATGTAAAGTTACTCTGCGCATAGTTAAGAAATCCGCTCTTGTTAAATACACATGGGAGGCAGGTGCCGCTTCCCATGGTTGGTCGAGACCAGGATGGTGGCTTTCTTTTGTTTCCCTGGTACCTGGGGGAGGGGAGGGGAACTAGAGAATCTAGAGAATCGGAGGACTCCTGGCCATTTGAAGGCTTCCATGCATGGTTTCAATTCCGGCACGCAGAACCAATGTTAATTAAACGCTTGACAGCTTAAGGAGGTGGGGCTTAGCCGAAGTGGCAGGAGCAGGTGTAGTCAGCATAAAGGTGGTTAATTGTAAAGCCATGCAAAATAGGGGTGTCCAGTAATCATATGTTGCATATTTCTGAGGGAGGCCTTTGGTCTGTGCTCCTCAAAGCTCTTCATAGATGTTAATTAGCCCAGCACTTGGTACAGCTCTGACCTCTATATTACTAATCAGCTGGCTGGGTCATTCTGCTTTACCCAAGATACACATGATCAGGCAAGGAGACGATTCCCTAGTGCTAGTAATCCCAGCCCTTACATGCCCGACGTTTATGGGATGACTGGCAGGATCCAGAGGCTTACAACTCTGTTCCCTGAGAGCCAAGGGCCTATTGCTCCAGGCTCTAGAAGCCAGCTTAGGGCTCGAGCTACCAAAGTTGGAGGCTTAGATTACTCCAGGCTTTAATGCCCAGCTGCCACAACGCTTGGCAGCTCCCAGAATCCTTGGCTCCCATCAGCAGCCATGGGCAGTGTCTGCCAGCGTGTCTGCATGGGTGCTGCGTGCTGGGAACTGATTATTGTTGGAGTTTTCAAGCCTAGAGTGAGACCGCTACCCCTTGAGGCTTGGCAACTCCCTGGAACTCTTCCAGCGACTGGTACCCCGTTCCTCTTCCCTGCCTCATCATGGCCTTCTTCATCGCGGCTCTTCACCTTCTGGTGAGGTCTTCCAGTGTCTGCTGCAGTCTTGTCCTCACTTCCTGTGTAGCTGTTTGTTGCTCTTGCCCAGAACTTGCTCTGGAACTCTTCAGAGTCCCCCTTGTGGCTGTCACTGCTCCGCGGACGCCTTTGTCATCTCTTCGTATTACCAGTCTACCTTGTAATAATAATAAATAATAATAGTAATAGTAATAATAATAATAATAATAATAAAAAGTGTACAATCACTCGAGAGAAGCTTTCACTGGACAAAAGACTCACCCAACTTAACTGAAAAAGTGAGCCAAACAGCTCGTTTATATAGTCAGGAATTGGTTGTGGCAAGGATGTTTGCACCAATCACAGTCCTTCTGCTGGGCCACTAGGGGGAATACACACACACACACACACACACACACACACACACCACAACCCCTGTGTCCTGGGTGAAAATGGTTACTGGAGCTTACCAAGGCTTGTGATGGCTGGCACAAAGTCTGGTGCAAGCTGTTGAAATAGTCACGTCTTGGATGCTGCCTCTGGAATCATGGTTCTGCTTAGCAAGGAGCGGCTTCCTTCAAGCATCGAAGGAGTGTTCGCAACAGGACAGCAGCCATGACAGTCCAGTTGGATGCTAAAGAAGGGCTGTGGGACTGAGTCCTGGGACCCAGGCAGCTAGGCAACAGAGAAGGATGCGTCAGTCCAGGAGTCGAATTGGCCTGGCCCCCAACATCTTAGCTTATTTAAAGGAAAGATGAACATTTAAAGGGTGCTTACACTAACATCCGTCACTGGCATGAACAGTTCTCTGATAGTGTTTAACAGCGCTCTGCTCTCCAGGCTTCTTGGGGGAAAGTAGAGCCATTCTGTCTGAACCGTTTGGACTGATTTGGGGGGCCTGGCTACGTATTCTCTTCCCAGGCTCTCCAACTTTAGTCCTAAAGGAGTGGTCTCCAAGATGGACTGAGTCTTCAGGGCTCAGGGTCTACCAGACCCCTCCTGGGACGAAGTAGATGGATTCTGAAGTGAAAGGAGCAGACAAGCTGTCTTTCAGGCTGCTTCCTGCCCTGAAGCATTGGCAACCCAAGTTCAGGCCATGTGGCTGTGGAGGTGAATAGTTGAGCAGTAGCTGGGATCCCCATGTCTCTGCAGTGTACAGTATGTGTGTGCATCCCCACAGTCTTCACTTTATTCTGTGTGAATGTACAAGACTCCTCGCTCTGGAGTGCACATACAGGTACTTGAAAGCACTCCCACAACTCACCTCTTTTTCCTCATGTGCACATAGCTGGCCCTTCTATTTGTACACACACACACACACACACACACACACACACACACATGTTTTCTGTGCGCAGACATTAAACACGGGTATACATATTTGTATGCACAGAGGGTTTTCTGTATATATCTTCAGGCGTGCACACACGACTCATACTCCATGCATACATACATGTGTATATGCAGATAGTATACAGCTATACTATCTGCATATACACAGGTGTGCCCACATGTGGCCCTTCTACGTGTACATGCAGCTAGGGCACGCACCACAGATCTTTCTCTGTTGGCACACACACACACACACACACACACACACACACACACACACACACGCAGAGGCAGACACGTGGCCCTCTATTCCCTGCGCATGCACACAGACGTGCATACAGTTGGCCCTTGGTGTACACACAGAGGCGCGCACACACGTGGCCTCCATGCGCACATCTAGGCGCGCGCAGCGTTTTTCAGTGCGGGCGGTCTCCAGCCGAGTCCCGCCACACGCGCACGCGCGCACAGGCCCCTCCCCTATCCCAGGGCGGGTAGCACCGGCGAGAGGCGCGGGAGATGAGCGGCGGGAGGAGGAGGAGGAGGAGGGCGCCGAAGGCGCGAAAAGGCGCGCAGGCGCGCTGCGCCGGAGCGGGCCCGCCGCC